AATTAATTCCTTAAATCATTTGGTATATAGTTTAATTTTTTCTAATCCTTTAATAACACAAAGCTGCAATGTATGTGCACTGCATAGAATATAATTAACACTATCCCATTCATGAATAGCTATAATCATGTTATTACCATTGTCAGTAATTGTTACTTTTACTTTACTATCTAATCCAAGCAGTTGAAGTTTAGTTAAAATAGTTTGGCAGATATTATTGCCATTATAAGGATAATTAATTGGTGCAATATCAATTAATATATTATATAATTCCATATTTTCTGTAAGCCAATGACATGTAATTCTGATATAACCTGATTTTGCGCAACATATCTAAAGATTTTTAGTTATAGCTGCTGTATTATAGGTATGAGTAATCATTTCCTTTATAGCTTGAAATGCAGCTTGATATCCATAACTAACTTTTTGATCGTTACATTACATGGTGACTTAAATAAGACCCCAGAAACTTATAATTGATGTTACTGACATGTAAACTGGGTAAAGTTTATATTAAAATTTTCCTAAAGTTACTGGCTAAACTATAAGTAAATTTTATAGTATCTTAAAAATTGTTCAAATTTCTACAGGGTAAAGTTTTTTTTGCTTTCCGGCTAATATAAGGGTAAAATTATTAATAGTTTGCAAAAGATCCCTATTAATAGTATGAGTAAAATACATATACCCAATATATGTGTGTATATATTATATTTAATAAAATATTGTTGATCATATGAATAGTCAAATTAAATGAACTTGTAAAAAATATTTTCATCGTTGACTAATATTTTCACACAAAGTACCATAACTCATATTTTCGCAGTAAAGGTCCATAAAAACCGGAGGATTACAGCAAATTTGTAATAAAGTACAATATGACAATTAGAAATCTAAACTTAAAAAAATTTTTACAATGGAAAATAATGGAAAATTTTCACAAAAACAAAAAAAAATGCAACAAACAACGCTTTATTTCCTTGTACTAATAAGTACTAAAAAGAATAAGAATCAAACTACTGGTATTAAAGAAGAAATTGTAGACCATACGATTACTCCTTCAAAACTAATAAAACAACTATGATAAATAACTCTTAATTTTCTTTCAAATACTAACTATACCAATAAAAAACGTTTTTTTAGTGATGTAAATACTGATGATAATGATACAGATTCTGATAATGAATCTGATGAGCATGATGATAACTTTGGTGAAAGTAGTGATGATAAATATAATGAATTTCCTCTTGATGGAGAACCTCATATGTGTTCTAAAGAAAAAAAATTACGTCAGCATAAATACTTTTTACGATTAATTAATCCAAAACATATTTGATGTATATGTGGGAAAGACATAAAATTAGACAAATGATACTCAGTAAAGAACTTAAAAATGTAAGGAGTTGTTTTGTATTTTATGATTTATTAAGGAATATTTTAATTGATCTATTTTTTCTTTAAAGCCACATGCGTAGCAAAAAAACATGTAATGCTAAAACACAAGGTCAATGTGGAATTGAAAAAATTATAAAATCAATAACATCGAAATACTATTATTCGAAAGACAATCTTATTCCTGCTAAGGTTTATCAAATAATCAATTAAATAATATATACTTCGTTGTCCATTTGATTTTGGTGGATCAAAATGTGAAAAGAACTTGCTTGTCAGCTATTTCCAAATAAATTTAAAGATGGGCATCTAGTTTATAGCAAGTAAAACTTTAATGAATGACAAGAGTTTTATAACTTACAAAAAGCACATACGACATAGTTTTTAGATCGAGGAACTTTATCAGTAACAAGTGCTAAATATACAAAATTTATCATTCATGAATCCAAAATATGCGAGGAATATGATAAATTAAGAAATAATTCACATTTTTATGAAGCTATTAGTGTGGTATGTTTCGTTTATAATTTTTTTTTTTACTTTACATAATTAAAGATTTTTATATACTTTATTAATTAAATCTATTAAATTATACTCACGTGTAACTGAAAAACATTTAAATATACTTCAAAACGGCATATTCAGGATAATAAACTAGTTCAACTTTTAGGTAATGATAAATTAAAAACTTTATATGGAAATGCAGTTGAAGAATCAGATGAACGTCAAATGTGATCAAAACTAGCTGAATATGGCAAAAAAGATTCATTTAAAGCAGATAAAACTTTTGGTGAACTGGTGGAGTTAGTGGAGTTAATTCTTCAAATTAAAAAAATTTAGAACAGGGAAAGAGCAAAAGAGCATTACGTTATTCTGAACATCTTCACCATTTCTTTAGTTTATTATCAGATAACAGTAGAGAGTATAATATAATTTGCAAAATGTTAGGAGGAATGGATCTACGATCTATAAGATAATGTATCATGCATATAAATATAATCAAATTCAAGACTTAATTTTAATAATTTTAAAAAAACATTTTAGATATTTACGCGTTCAAAATGGTGATTATTTAACTAATCCTAACCTTATGTATGAGAATGTAGCTCAATTTGCTCGTGCTATGAAGGCTTTAAAGTGGACAGGACCGGTTGTTGCTATGACAGACTATATCAAAGTTCATGCTAAATTAAACTATTCACAAGAATTAGGGTGTATAGTTGGATCCACTTTATGTTTTAATAATATGCAAATAACAACATATGATGATATTCATTTAAAGATTAAAGAAATTCAAGATAATAAAACCATTGCATCACAAGCATGTGTTGTTTTGAAGGTAAATTAGTATTGTTTATAAATTCAAATATATTATAATAAAAATTATTTTTTAATAGATTCCTATTAGTAGAATTCTACCAGTTGTATCATAAAGCGTTCTGTATAGTACCCAGGGTATTTTACATTCTACTAAATATTACGGGGTACTATACTAGGGGGGTACTGTGATCGGAGGAGGGTACTATATATGGCGTATACTTGTAAAAATAAAATGATTGATCGTCAATTTTT